ATTGATTCCTCCTTTCACAAAAGATTTCTCTGTAGCATGCAATGCTGTTTGATGGCATTTTACCCATAGGACTTCTTTCAAAATTGGAGTTAATCCTCTCAAACCATGCCACTACTTTATCAACTAAGTTTATGTAATATTCTTCAATATTGTCGTGCCTCAGGGAATAGGGAGGCTCAAGGGAGGTGGGGTGAGAGAGAGAGAGACAGAGAGAGAGAGACAGAGAGAGAGAGAGAGAGAGAGGGTTAAGTACCTTAAATCAAGATATTAGGATGACCTTACAAAAAGAAAACATGGCAATCAAACATGTACTTATTCATGTGATAACATCCCCTCAAAAAAAAAAAACAGTCCAAACCAAATCTCAAAACACAAGTTTAGGTTTCTATTCTACCAGGCCTAGTGTGAGGAAGGAAGGATCATGGAAGTCAGGGATGTTTCGGTGTTATCATACAAACTGGATGTTCTCAAGAGCTCTTGCCTTGAGTTCTCCATAAAAATCTTTTAGGTAGGTGTGGGTTTGGCATTTGGGCTACACGGCCAGCCCATTGGAATTGCACTCTCCATAGTAGTTTGAATGCCTGGCAGTTCAGCTTAAGAGAAGACCTCAGTGTCCAGTACTTTATCTTGCCAAGTAATCTTCAGACTCTTCCTAAAACAATTCAAATGTCAAGGTTTCACAGGCATACAACTATGAAGTCTGCACAAGGTCAGAAGAAGTGGTACAAGGACACTCTCAAGGTCTCTCTGAAGAACTTTAGTATTGATTATGAGACATGGGAGATTCTGGCACAGAACCACCCAGCATGGCATGCCTGTATCAAAGAAGGTGTTTTGTTCTACAAGAAAAGCAGAATGCAATAGAACAAAGGAAAATGTGAGATGCACAAATCTAGAGACAGCTTCATCCCAAATGTTCCAGCGGACTATTTATGCCCAATCTATGTTAGAGCCTTCCAAGCTCAGATTGGACTAATCAGCCATAGTTGAACATACTGTCCCTTGACCCCAACATCATGGTATCATTGGTCCTCTGAGTTCGAAGGACTAACAACAACTACAACAACAACTACAACAATAACTATAACAGGATGTTCTCATAGGCTTAAGCCTTAAAGCCAAACAACAACAGCAAAAAGCATAGAACTTTAGAATGGGAAAGGACAATCTAGGCCAGCCTCCTCATTTTAAAAATAAGAAAAATGAAGCCCAAAGAAGGAAAGAACTTATCCAAGTTCACATAACTGGTGAATAAAGTCTGGAGTAGAGTCTGTCTCTTCTGATTCCCAGTCTAACATGTGTCCCAAGAAATAATGCAGATGAATAAGTGATAGGTGGCAAGTCAGATCTTTAATTCAAATATAAAATGTCACCATTTCCTACAGTGGAATAATGGCTTAGTCCTATTTTTTTACTCCTTGTCCTCTGAGGTTCTTTCAAGCACTAGATCTACAATCCCATGGTTCTTAAAATGCATCTCAATAGGGGACAGTTAGTTTCCTCTTGTAAGGTGTACTATAAAAAGTTTCCCGCTTAGTAAAAATGCACCACTGCCTTAGTATCCTTTGAAGACAGCAGTAATCTCTCTTAGATAAGTAGAATTCTAATTGAATTCTAATTTGTAATCTATTATGACCAGTGATTTTTTTTGAAGGCTTGAACTATATATGTGTACTCCCACTTTAAGCAAGTATGATGAATTAAGCTCTAAATCCTCACTTTACAAAAGGATTTACCATAGAATTCTTTATTGAATAGCTTTACTTTCCCTTAATGTAATACATTTACATACAACTTGAACAACATATATGTTATACAACATTTGAGGATGTGAGTCATTTCATAAAATGAGATACACCTATGCCAGGAAATATTTACTTTGATGTAGATAGATAGATCTATCTATCTATCTACTTCAATGGTCCAATGGATCTGAAATCAAATTGATTTGGGTACCCCCTCCCTCACCAGTACAACCTATCCATGCCTTTTCATACTATGTGACTCTTGTCCATATCCTTTGGTAAATCTTCCATGGTGTCTAAGCCAATAGTCTAGAATTCTTCAAAGCCAAAACACATGAATATTTTCTTCTGGGTGGGTCCAGACATTCCCAGACCCTTATTTTGGTTATCAATGTTTATATTTTCCAAAACAGGAGTGTCTGCTTTTATTATTGCAATGAAGCAAATAAATTTGTTTTTAGAACCATGGTGATGTCCAAAGGTTCTGGACAAGGTTTTCACTAGTTTATATTCCCGCTGAAGCCTTTCCTACTGGTTTAGTTCTCCAGGAGAAATCTCTCTTCTGGAGAGGTTATCTCTTTCAACTAGTTATTAAAAAGTTTTACACATAGAATGAGCTTCTTCAGACAACAAGCCCAATTATTTTGGAGAATATTCACATATTTGTACAACATTGGATCAACTAAATATTTTGATGGATTGACCCATTATTCAATCTCTATTGGGAATGAGAAAAATGAAAGGGAGAAAGAGATGCATAAAGGAGGAAGCCATTACAAGGAGAGTAGTTTTTTTATTCACTAAGAATCTACTTCAAAAAACCTCCTTTTGGGGGTGCCCTGAATTTGTCAAAATTAAATCTACTCTACCTAAATCAAACGCTAAATCAAAAGATGTCATTCTTAAAATCATTAAAACATTTTCTGTGTATATAGCATTAAGCTAGACTGGAAGTTCCTTGAGGGCAGGTATTCTATATTATTCAAATCTTATATCATTCCCAGTGTACTATATATAGTTAGCACTTAATAAATGTTTGTTGATGTTCTCATGATCTTATGGGGGAAAATGTCTTTACCTTCCTGGCAATTTGTAATGGAGAGAAGTCTAGAGTGGGAGCCAGGAGAATTGGGTTTCATTGTCTGATCTGCCACAGAACTCTGAGTGACTGAGCAAGTCTCTTCTTTCTAGGCCTCAGTTTTCCCATCAGTAAGGAATGAGTTGAAATCTACGATCCAAGATCCCTTCTACTTCTGATAATTCAAACCTTGGGAAATTTACTTACCCACTCTGGACCTAAATTTCCTTATAGATAAAGGCTCAATTACATAAACATAAGTTCCTTCCAGCTGGTAGTGCTGTGTGAACTGTAAATCAGAGGGCTTCAGTTTGAATTCCAGCTCCACTACTTTCTCTGTAACCTTAAATCAGTTCACCTCTCTGGGCCTCAGTTTCCTCACCTGTAAAATAAAGAGGGAGGGATATTTGGACCAAATGGCCTTTAAGGTCCCTCTGGGCCTGTTTCCTTAACTATAAAATAAGGGGATGGGACTGGATGGCCTCTAAGGTCCCTCCCGGCCTCAGCGTCCCCTTCTGTAAAATAAGAGGGTTGGACTTGACTACAGGGCCCCTGACATCATTCTGGGCCTTAGTTTCCTCATCTCCAAAACAAGGGGGTTGGATTAGATGGCCTCCGAGGTCCCTTCTACCATTAAAACCTCTTCATGCCTCTGGACCTTCTGCAGATGGCCCAGAGCCTTTGACTAAAGTCACGTCTTCACCAGAAAAGTAATGGAAAACTTTCAGCTATTATTCCACGAAAGAACGTGGCTCTGGACATTAAAAGTGCCTCCATTTGGCTGGTGTGGCTGGGCCTCTGCTAATAAAACATCGACTGTGGAAAAGCAGAGGAAGAAGGAAAGGAGAATGCAGAAGAGATGAGAAGACAGGAGAGATGAGAAGACAGGAGAGGTGAGAAGGGACGAGGCGCGCGAACGCCTCACCAGCTTCCTCCCTCCCCCCTCCCATCCCCCTATTCCCCCCCTACACCTTGCTACACTGCCCCTGCGCCGCAGCTCTTCCATTGAGAACAAGGAGAGAGAAGGGCGGGGCGGGGGAGACGAGGGCGCGTTCTCGCGCGCGTGCCCGCCTGGACCCCAGACTCCGCCCTCCGTCCTCTCAAGGCTGCGTCGGGGATGGGGGTGGGGAGGAGAGCTCTCTTGAGTTCTGGCGCGCGCACGCGCGCGGGCTTGCTCGCTCGCTTGCATCCCCTCCCCAGGGCCGGGCGAAGCAGCCCGCTCGCGAGCCCCAGGGCGGGCAGGCGCGCGTCCCTGCTGACGTCATTGAGGCCGGCGAGCCTGTACGGTGTGGGCTAGAACCCCTGGCGCACTCGCGCACTCCGCTCTTTTCCTTCCCCCCCCCCTCCCTCTCATCCCCCCCCTCCCTCCCAGGCTCTCTCTCCCCTTCTTTTTTTTTTTCCCTCTCCTCTCTTCTCTCTCCTCTCGCTCTCTCTCTCTCTCCATTAGGATCCACTGAACGATGCGATCTCTGGGAGCCAGCGCTATCGCCGCCGCCACCGCCCGCTAGAAACCTTACCCCCCCTTCCCCCCTTCCCCACAGCTTGCAAAGCCCCCCAAAGAAGAGGGAAAAGGGAAAAAAAAAGGAGAAGGGGAGGGATGCAATACTAATCACCATCCTAATAATCCTCTCTAGCCGAAGGATCCACCCTGCCCCCCCATCCCCATCCCCATCCCCACCCTCCTCCGGCTCCTGGCTCCATCGAGCGCCTTTGCCCTTTATTTTTATTTTTAATTTTTAAATTTTTTTTTTTAAATAATCCTCGGTGTCCGCAGCCTAGCGCTGCTGCTGCTGCTGTTGCTGCTGCTGCTGTTGCTGCTGCTGCTGCTTCCCCTGCCGCTGCCGCTGCTCCGGGTCCCCGGCGGTGGTTGCCTCTTTTCGGATGCGTTGCTTGCAAGCCGCTGAAAGAGATCCGCAACCCTGTCTCTAGAGCTACCAACCCCAGCCCCGAATCCAGCCTCCTCCTGCAGGTGACCGGAAAAGGGGGCAGTAGCCTGAAATACACCTTGCGAATTTTTGGGGGGAGGGGCTGCATTTTTATTGTGTTTGGGGAACTTGATTTCTTTTTAAAAGAAAAAAAAATACAAGAAAGAAGGAAAGAAAATTAGAAAATTTTTTAAAGGACAGAAATAAATATTTCTGGGGGGGTGGGGTGGGGGGTCAAGCCGAGAAGGGGAACCGTGCCAGCCGAGGCGTGCGGGCTGTTTTGGGTGTCACGATGGGATGTACATTGAGCGCAGAGGAGAGAGCCGCCTTGGAGAGGAGCAAAGCGATTGAGAAAAACCTCAAAGAGGATGGCATCAGCGCCGCCAAAGACGTGAAATTACTCTTGCTGGGTAAGAGAACCTTGGCCACTTCCTCACCCCCACCCCTTTCCACCAGGCCCCCTGAACAGCCAGGCTGCACCCTATTCCAAACAACGCCCCCACCGCCACCTCTGTTTTCACCCCTTTCTTCACCCTTCTCCCTTATCCTGTGTCCAGGAAGACTTGTCCTGAGTCCAGGGAGACCTTTCCCTTCTTAGATTTGCAGGAAGATAACCAAGCCATTGCACATACACGAGTCTTCAGCCAAAAAAGCTGATCCGCTGCATCCTTTAGTCCAGCTGCTCCCTTCCTCCTCCCAGCGTAATCTCCCAGTTCTTCTAGCCTGACACTGACTAGCTTCTTTCCTTTTTTGTCTGTCCCTACAGGGGCTGGAGAATCAGGCAAAAGCACCATTGTGAAGCAAATGAAGTAAGTCCCTATTGTATTGGGATTTTAATTTTTTCCCCCTTACTCTTTTTCCAGCTCTCCCTTAGGCCCTGTTTGTAATTCTTGCTCACAAATGCATAACACTTTGACACCCCCTCCACCTCCCTTCCCACCTTAGGTGTTTCTCTTCCCTCCACCCCATCTCCCAAGAGGGATGTTTTTAGGGAGGGGTGAGGAGAAAGGGTGATGGTGGGGGCTGTAGTTGTATGAATGACAATGTCCGCCATATTGATCAGAGCATCATCACTATTGACAATATTGTGAATGTTATTTCCTACTAGTGGGGTGTTTTTCCCTATCCCCTCCCTCCCCACCCCCCGTCCTCCACCCTTCTCTCTCCTCCCCTTCTCACAGCTGCACCTGTGGCAGGGATTTATTTCTGGCTTGCCTAGATGGAGGGGAGGGGACCTTGTCTTTTGCTCTGGGTGGAAAATCAAGTGTCTGCTGTTCATGGTTTTGGTGCTGAATTGGAGGTAGTGGGGGTTTCTCTATCTCTAGCTTTCTGTCTCTCCCATGTACACATACATACACATATACCCCCATGGGGTGGGGGGCTTAAGATGAGAGGAGAGGAGTGGGTGACTTTCCAGGCTGATGTGAATGGCACAGATGTAACCAGGGCAGAGCCATCAAACAGACCAGTGTCAATTAAGCTTAATGTCAGCTTTCTATCTCTCAGCTCTTTCCTCTCTGCCCCCACCCTCCCTGATGTTTGATCTCTTGACATGGGCATCTGGGTTAGCTCCATGGCACTTATATTATTTGTTTGCTGAGTAAGGTATGTTATATATAAATCTACCTACAAGGCAGATTCAAAACAAGTCTTGCTGCCACCCCAAATTCCCCTTTGCCCAAGGGGGTCGGTATTTCTTTAATTAGCTAGCTGGAAGCAATTTTTACTATTGATAGAAATGTTTTTCTTTATTGATATTATTTTTAAGTGAAAGAAAATCTCATAATCTCCATAAAAGCCTCACCCTCTTTCTGAACATACACACTTTATTGTTTCTTGCTCTTGACATCAACCATTTCTTGGGGAGTTTTAAGCAGGTTTGTTTTAGATTTGGGGGAGGGGACTTAGAAGGTGGAGGTGCAGGGATTTTTGTGCTCCATTCCCCACCACCAATCTTGTGGCTTTGCTACTTCCCGTTATTCTCCCCATTTGGAGTTCATTTGAGACCGTTTAGTGAGGCTTCCACGTCGGTTTGCTGTGACACCTTTACATATACACAGGGTTCCTAATTAGAGGTTGCTATGCAGTAAACAAAAATGATTATTTTTCAACTTGACAGAATAGCTGAAGTAATTGCATCCCGCAGGAAAACAATGGAAAATAAAAACCTCTTTCTTGGGGAGGTGGGTGAGAGAGGAAGCCTGTTTGCGATTTCAGAACTAAGATGGGGGGGAGTTAAAGTCCCAATCTTGCACGTATAACTGGCATGACAAGCTGGTTCGAGGCGGCGCCATGATTGTACCGTGAAGCAGCTCTTTTAAAATTCCCATCTGTTTTTCATATTGCTATATTTGCACGAGAAACCCCGGGGGGGGGGAGTTTTTGCAAGGGGGCATCTCAGCTTGCTGCACCCCTCTAGAGCCATGATTAATTTGACTTGGAGCTTCTCTAGAGCTGTATACCACCTAAGTGAATTTGGGAAGTGAGGCCTAGGGAGTTTCTATTTGCAACAAGGTGCATGCTGCATTTGCATGGCTGGTCACTTTATGCACATGCTTAAATGAATAACAATAAGCAAGATTTTTTTTAAAAGTCTCTAATCTACAGAGACAGGTTCCCGAGCCCTTTAAAAGCCAGTGCAACCCGGCTCTGCGTTGGGTTTCAGGCATTGCGAGTGGTGGACAGCGCCCAGCTGAGGCTAGACAAGTCGATTGGGTCCGAGAGCTCAGCAGCACCTGGCTCAGCTCTGTGACTGGCCGGGTACTGAAGCTCGGAGAGTCTCGGCTGTGTTCGGGTGCTATTCGATTCCTTAAGAGGCTAGAGCCGAGCCACTTCGGAAACAGCCGAGTGTGTTCGCATCTCGGGCAAGGCTAAGAGGGAGGGGGGAAGGGTAGAAATCTCTGCAAATTAACTTTGCATCAGCCAAAGCAGCAATTCTCCCCACGTTGACTTCCACACTTCCCTTGAAGATGCTACATAAATTAGGCTGACTTAATAAGGTGTTTAAAAATATATACAGATTCCCCAAAAGGGTAATATTACCTACCTCTTCATTCAAAGAGAGCTGAGCTCTCCAAGGGGAACAGTGTGCCATTTTAGAATGAAGATTCCTAATTGCATATGAAGGAAATCTAATCAAAAGACTGCATGTAGACTTCTCCCTGGAAGTCTCTGATGTCCCAAATGGTTTTTCATATTGGCATTTTTGGTAATATTGGGGGGGCGGAGGCAGGCAAGCTAGTGTTTGAAGGTCTACAAATAAATCAGAAATGTGGGTCTCTCCCTCCCCACATTTGTTGTGAGATTTTAGAGTCTCAAAAATAATTTTGAAAAAAAAATTGACTAGCACAGTTCACAGGATCCCCATTGGAAATGGGTTGGGCTTATTCAAAAGGAGAGCCAAAGATGCATGACCATAGTCCAGAAAACAACACCCCAAAGGATTCATGCAAAGATCCATAGTGAGGACTCCGTAGGTACCCATGAACAGAGGCTGTCTGTCTTCTGGGTTCTGGCTCTAAAGGGGGACAGTTCAAGGCAATATGCCAGGGTGGATGCTGAACTCATATTAGCTATGAAATGTGTGGCTAGTAACAATGGTATTCCAGTGACAGATTCTTTTAGTAGTTTCCATTTGCACAATCATGACTTGGAGCTTGTGAGGTACAGATTTCTATCTAGAAACTCAGGGGAATTGAACAATGGGTGGGGTGAGGAAGCCAAGATGGTGACTCCACATGCCCAGGAGAAATATTTAGAGAGTAGTTACTGGGTTTTGTGCAGTACAAAGTACCATTCATAATAATATGTAGAACATTCTACGAGACAGCTGTTGAGATACAGACTACTGATATTATCAGTGACTCGGATAAAAGCATAAATGGCATCCCTGTCAAGTTTGCAAGTGATATAAAATTAGAAGGAATGGCTAACTCATTAGATGATAGAGTCTGACTATTAAGATCTTAAGAGGGTAGAAAATCATTCACACATAAAAAGATTAAATTTAAGATGGATAAATGTGAAGTTTTACACTGGGTTTCAAGACACATTGATTTCACAAGTACATATGTAGTTGTCATGGTTAAACAGTAATTTGCCTAAAAATCAGGGCATATCAGTGGGTTGTAAGTTTAATAAAATCAACAATGTAAATATGGCAACCAAAAAAAGAGCACATTTTGGGTTGTATAAAGAAATCCATAGCTTTTGAGGAGTAAGGAGGCAATAGCCCTACTGTATACCAGGGTGGAGAAGGTCCTTGAGTCCTTGCCACATGAGCATTAGTTGAAAGATCTAAGGTTGCTCAGTTTGGGGAAGAGGCTATCTTCAAGTTATTTGGAAAGCTGTCATTTGAGAGAACGATCAACTTGTTCTGTTTGGCCCCAAAGAACAGAAGTTAGAGCATAGGCAGAAGTTTCCAAGTGGTACATTTAGGCTAAGTGGGCAACAGTTCCTAACAGTGAGAACTATCCAAAAATGGAAAAGACTTACAGAAGAAAAGTGGGTTTCTTCTCTTTGGAAGTCTCCAAGTAATGGCTGAGTGACCCATTTGTCAAGTGTGTTTGTTATAGGTGGAAATTCTTTGCAGAAATATGTTTTGCATGACTTCATACATGTTATGAGTATTATTTTTCTTGCCTTCTCAATGGGCAGGGGAGGAGCTAGCAGGAGAGAATTTGGAACCAAACATAAAATAAAATAAAATAAAATAAAATTTATCAGTGGAGATTCTTGTTCAGTTATGGGCTGAACTAGATGGCTGCAAAGGCCCCTTTGAAGCCAGAAATTCTGTGTTTCTTTTAAAAGCTCCCTTACAAATGAGAAAACTTGAGATTCAGGGAGGTTAAATAGCTTGCCTAAGGTTACTTAGCCAGTAGTGAAGCAGGCACTTGATACCAGGCCCTCTGACTCCCAAGTCCATTCATTGAACTTTCCATTATACCTTAATTCATTACCAGGAAGCTAAGACCAACACACTAAACTAGCCAGCATCAGTTAAGGTGCTCTTTTATTTCACCTAGATCGATGTGTCTGTGATATTACATGGATAATGTCCATGAAGCCCAGCAAGAGCCTTATGATTTTGTAGTGGTGATAGAGATTTATCAGACTAGCCCCTTGGGTTGTGATGCAGGATATTTCAGACACTGATGGCACCCCATTTTTTAGTCAACATTACCAGAAAAGCAACAACCAGGACCTGTATTTCTTAACTTCATTCTCAATAGCTTCCATATTGTAATGTGTTGTTTAGTATGCTAGAAAGAATATGTTGGTAGTAAATAATCAAGTAGAGGAGTAGATATTGGATACTGTTTGTATAAAAAAGTTACACTTGGCTAACAACATTTCAGAAATGGTTTGATTTTTAAAAAATTACTACTAATTAAGAAAAGATCTTGTGGGGGAAATTGTAATTATTTATGTGGTATGTTTTCCAATTAAATTGTCTTTTATGACTTTGTAAAGTTTAAAGTGTTATATGATATGTATTATGATAATAATGAATACCTGGTAACAGAAAAAATTTGTTGAAAATAGGATAGGTTTTTTGGGGGGGATGATGGTGCTGAAATTGTATTTGTGTGTGTCTGAATTAGTGTTTGGGAGCTTTGTGGAATAGAATGGAATTCCAAAATAGCTCAGTGCTAAGACATAAACAATGATAATTGAGACAGCACCAATATAATTTAAAATATTCCATAATTATTAAGTGGCTGTTTTTAGCATTTTAAATACTTTTGATCGTTAAGGGTTGTGACTTTGCCCGTTAGATATTCTCATCATTGGTTGCTTAATCTGTGTG